TCAAAATGCTAGTACACACGATATTTGTTTCTTATGACGTGATATTCTTCATTACTTCACCTCCTAGCTGGTCGAAATTTCAAAAATGCTAGAACAAATATTTCATATTTTCTTATCAAGTGCTTAAATATTAAGTTTTATGGTTTTATCTTTAAAAAATAAGAAATCTCATACAAACTTTTAACCCCTATTTCAACCCCTTTATCTCTGTTTTTCGAAAAAAAAGTAGCCTATGTTCTGTCTCAGGGTCTAAAGATTGTCTGTACCAAATTTCATTAAAATCGGTTGCGAGGTTTAAGCGGGAAAGCGTAACAGACAGACAGACAGACAGACAGACAGAGTTACTTTCGCATTTATAATATTAGTTAGGATTAGGATAAATGTGTTATTCTATTTTACTCTATTATTACGGCCGAAGCTACTAGTAAAAGCTGGTACAATTTTACTGTAAGTACAAACTGTACGTTAGGTAAAAAAATAAATTACTTTGTTTATTATTTTATCGAAGTAATCTGTTCCATTAATTTAGTTATTACATGTTATTTACATGTTTGACCTCCGATCCAAGTTTTCAGGGCATTATTATAGCATACTAGCTTTTGCCCGCGACTCAAGTAATCCGTCGGCTCGTTTGTTGACCTATTAAAAGAAAATCGTTGCGCTCAACCTGACACCAGTACCCGATATCATCACTATAACTCATAGCAAAAATCTAAAACTAAATACAATTCAAGAACACCCAATCACAAAGTACCTCAAAGTGTACACACATTGTGCCATCCATCACTAATTACTGACACGCTTACCTAACTCCAATTTACGTGAACAATACAATCGCAGTTCCGTAGGTGAACAGTGGGATGCACCGAGGTTCCGTACGATTGCAACATGCGCATGATTCATAGAGGTAGATGACACGTTAACGAAAAGGCGTTAATGTGTGCGTGGGCATGAATTATTTGTCTGTGGTTTTGGTATTTCGTCTATGGATTTTTGTTTTTGATTGGTTATGACCTTATTTGTTGTCGTAAATTAGATTTTGATTTCTTATTTTATAATGACTTCAACTAATTGCGGTTTGAAGGCGATTTATTTGTGCGGAGCCGATTGCTTACCGTCAGATAAACATATAATCGTTTTCCAACATACCCTATAAAAATGTTTCACATCGCGTCATCAGCTCATAAGTGCCCACTGCTGAGTAAAGGCCTCTTCGCACATGGAAAAATATAATAGGATTGAGCACCACGCTTGATCAATGCGGTATGGCGATGTCAAATGTATAATTAGAAATTATAAGTCTAGGTTTCCTCACGATGTTCTTTTTCGCCGTTTATCCGTTGCCTATATAACAATCGTAGAAAGTACGTATAACTTTTAAAAAGTACCTAACATTGCATTGGTACCAGGCAGCTATACTGCGTTTTAAAAAATACTTCCTACTGATTTGTCAAAATGAATTTTCTGTAAAATCTCGAAAAATAGAACTAGTTAGTTCTATAGCCAGTTTAAACACTAGAATGTCTCAAATCTAGGTTGCACCTAGACACGAGGTACAAGAACCATTCGAAAACTTGTGTTTTCTCGCACATTAAGTTTCACTATCAATTGTTTATGATAATACCTCGACGTACCATCACGCCGGCTGCCGTTTTGTGGTCAGCAGACAATTTGCGGTGGAGGAAAGTTCAGGGGGATTGATGACAGATATATGGTGAAGAGAAAAGGATGGCAATATAGCGATATTTCAAGTTTATAACTGAGATTTTCTTTCAGTAAGAAAAATAAATGAGTTCCCATACATACATACTTACTTACTTACCTAACCGAAATCTAAAAGAAAACGGCTTGATGGCACGGAGTTAAAGGCGCTCGCTTCTCATGCATGTCAAAGTCAAAGTCAAAATCATTTGTTTCAATAAAATTAGACCCATACTACAGGCGCTTTTAAACGTGAAAAAAAAAATTAAGATCCAACATGTCAGTCTTTCGGTCAGCCCTCTTAGTGAAGCTATTCGCTCGTTCCAAAGTGTAGATTCTGATGAAGAAGAACGAGCAAGCAAGTCCATGGTTACTCTTTTTAAATCAATGTCACATAAAGATTCTTTGATATATCATTTATTTAGTGCATAATGGTGTGGTTTCGAAACCTGACAAGTACTAATGTGACTTTTTCCGAGTTACAAGTACTTTCTATGATTAGCTAGACACCACTGATATACGGTGAAGTCCAGGTTTAATTTCTAATTGTAAGTTTGAAATCGCCAATCCGCGTTGAGGAAACTTGGTGATTAATGATCAAACCGTCTTCCGAGTTATTAGGTAGAGATTAAGGATAGAGGATTTGACAAATTTTAAAGATGGGGGGAAGATTAAGCCTCTAATAACAAATCAAATCAAAATCATTTATTCCAACAAAATAGGTACTTTTGAAATGTCAAAATATAATATTATTATAGTCTGTCAGTCTGTTCATCAGTGAAGCTAGGTGCTCATTCCAAATTGTAGTTTCGAAAGGAGAAGAACGAGCAAGAAACTCCATAACCTAACTCACACAGTGAAATACAACGTAAGTGTTGCTTCACGCCGGCTTTGTGTAAGGCCGTGGTATCACTCCGGTTCGTGCCGAAACATGCCACACTTAGCCGTCTATATTTTTTAAAAGAGCAAAACTTGTACTGCTTATCACCTAAGTTAGTACTAACTGGCACAAAATAAAGACATATTCTAAATATAAAATAGCCGACAAGAAACTCTATATTGATTCGGGTCAACGGCCCAAGATAATCATTTAAGTCCTATATTTGGAAAGGTCCAAGTGTAGAATACGGCTCTGTGGTCTTACAGTGTGTGGGTCGTAGTTTTTGTATGAAATGACCAAAACGAATAATACCTAGTATATGTATAAGTATTTATCAAATATGTACAAGGTTACAATGATAAATAAGTAAAGCATATTTCACTATCACAAGATGACCAGCCGGGGTTGCGGGCACAAAAGTATTAAGTAATAATGTACCGCGACCCCTGTGCCCTAAACAGGAAAAGAAACGGGTTTTTAATCATACAGAGTCTAACAATAAACGACACTGTTTAAAAAAAATGCCTAACCTAGCAAATCCCGTGGCATCTTAAAAAGTGTAGATAATAATTACAGGGAAATAAACACCAAAGGAGTAATATGTGCGTTGATAGCTTTTTGTGGATTGTTATGGATGTAAGGATTGGTGATTTTGGGGGTTTAGGATGATGGAAAGGTTGAGCCTTTTGTTACCTCACTTACAAGGACAAAAACAACTCCAGCGTTATTTCCCGCCGGTGATCAGCGAGGCCGTCGTATAACTCCAGTGAAACTAGCCACCTATTACCGAAGCATAGCTCTCCCACACTTCTTACGCAGCTCACGCAAAACCTTATACCCAAGTACCATATTTATCCTCAATCAAAGAAATAATAACATTATTTATTGTGTTAATCAAATTTCACCTGTCTGTACACTTGTCATGTATAGTATATTTTTATAGGACGGTCAACCACACGGTGGACGCTACTCAAGGGTGCATGTTGCGTGAAACACATCGGCGCACGCGCACCGTGTAATTACCCTGTGTATCACTGTGTTTACACTTTGTGCGTGTGTGTGGTGCAAGCGTAGGGCTCATGGCGATTTTAAAATGGGACGGTTGGATCATCAATGAAAAAATGTTTTGTACAGCTTTTTTGTTCTTAATGGATTATTTATGTTTTTGATTTTTAATTTATCATAATAAGTTTTATCATAATATCATTTATTATATACATATATTTATCATAATATTTAATTTAAGTTTTATCATAATATCACAACGTAGTCAATCCTTTAAAGTACTGAAAAGACGAAAATAATAGATATAAGTACATTCAAGCTTTGTTTTCTTACCTGCTTTTGCGCTGTCCACAAACTGTTTTTCCAGGTCTAGATATTTAATACATGTGAATTCGTGTGTTGGTGACACACGTGATAAGATCACGTGATCAAAATAATCATAGTGTAAGGAGCAACGTTATTTTGAAGAAGATTAAGAATGAAACACGTTTACCCTTGTACCATACCTTTCCGCTCCCGCTGCCGCTTACACCACAAACGCGGCCCACGAAGCAGTGCGTATCGGGGGAAAGTTTGGTTGCGTACTAGAACAATAGCTCATGTCACACCACTTTGTGATGCACACCAACCGTGACCAGACTCACTTAGGAATAGGACCAGATAAGGGATTGGGGGCAGTGTTGAAGATCCTCCGGGTAGATGGAGTAACGGTGTTTTTAGCTGATGATTGACTTTAAGTAGAACGCTGCTGAAGAGCCGTCTTAGTCCAGTAGTGGATGATAATTAAATGAGATTGGATTTTTGAGTTCAATGCTTCAATGTGTCTTCTCAGAGTACTTAAGTCATAGAAAAAATGCCTCATAGCTTAAGTCGAAATGTGAATTGAAAAAGCTTCTGTCAGATTAGTATTTTTGTTGGCCAATACAAATTCAAAATTATTTTATACTCGCACGAAGTCTAGGGCATTTGCATTTCGCGTGGAAAAGTAACTTTCTGCAAATTTTTGGTATAAAAACTGTCCTATGTCCTTTCTCGAGTTCCAAAGTACCTATATCTGCACCAAATTTCACAGAAATCGGTTCAGTAGTTTAGGCGTGAAGAAACGACAGACGGACAGACAGATTTACTTTGGATTCTATGGAACGTTATTTTATTAAATTTGCATTTATCGTTTTATAGATATATATAATTTCAATGCAACTTAAAATTAATGTATATGAGGTAGATTTGTTTTCTATTTCTAAGTATTGCCTAATACATATCACTGTACTTAGTTTACATTAAATTATATTACATAATATTTCATCATCATTAAAAATAATTGTTCCTTTTTTCAATTTTCCTCTTATTCAGCTACAAAAAGAACCATTTAACCAATAACTCTCTAATCTAAAGAAATTTTCTTCTTCCACAGCGCGGTGCCAACCTCGAAGAGAAAGAAGGAGACTTCGTTCGCGATCCTCGCGGAGACTCCAGTGTCGCGGCCCACCAGCCCGCGGTCCCTGCCCGTCGACATCAGGACCCGAAGGGTCTCGCCCTTTAGAGGTAAATATCAACACCTCTTATACCTTAACGAAGGTTTTATTACATAGGTATATGACTGCATGGTTGGTGCGATGGTTGGGCAACTGGCTGCCGTGCAACGTGTCGCGGGTTCGATTCCCACACGGAACAACTCTTTGTGTGATCCACAAATTGTTGTTGCAGGTCTGGGTGTGTATGTAAAATTGTATGTTTGTAACCGCACCCACGACACAGGAGAAAACCCTAGGGTGAGGCAGCGCTTTAAAAAAAAATAAGTTTTGTTTTTTATTTATAAAGCGATAGAATGAGCAAATATTCACATCAGTTTTAGTTTCCAAATGAATACCATCTGAATTTAACAAGACATTCTCTTTTCCTCCAGGTCGTGGTTTCCGTGAAGAGACATCACGGCACAACACTCCAAGGACTTCGGCTACGAACTCCAGAGCGAACTCACCTCCGAGAAGAAGAACGAACTCTTTATCGAGGATAGACAATATGGCACAAACTGCCACGTTACCCTTACCAATACACAATTTACCAAGACCACATTCACCCAGAAACTTCTTAAAAGAAAACATAGAAGAAGTAAGAGAGCTAAGTGAGCTTAACAGAGAAAAACATGAAGCAGAAGCTGAAAGGAAAAGAATAGAAGAAGAAGAAGCTATCCTCAAAGAAATGGGAGTTTTAGACAAGTCTAAATCCGGTTCTAGAAGTGTTGTTGGATCCAGGACAAATTCTAGAAGCAACTCCCCAAGCAAAATCAATTTGAGATCGAGAGATAACTCTCCTTCAGCAATACTTCATTACGAGAAAATTCCTGCTAACAGCAAAGAGTTTGTAATCGCTGATGATGGAATAAGACAACCTGTTACACATAGGTCCCGAGTTCGATCAGTCTCAAAATCTCAACCTCAGTCCAACAATGGATCGCCAAAACATTCCAAGATCCCAAAACGACAGAGCTCTGTTTCTCCAACAAGAACAACATCAAAACCGTCAGTGTACCGACGGCCATTTGAAAATAACTTGAACAAAAATCAAAGGTTTATTTCCAGCAGTACTAGCAGTATTCATGAGACCATTAGAATCGGGAGTCAGGTCCATGACAAAAGAGGGAGTAAAAGTACTCAACATTTAAGCATATCTCCCGCTCACATCAAGGGTAAGCCTCCAATTTCCCCAGGGAGAGGAGGTCCGCCGCCTTCAAACAGGGTAATCAATGCTAAAAGACTATCTCCCATAGTTGGAACTCCAAACAAAAGCCCTATAGATGATTTAAAACCGAACTCGGCTAGGCCGAATACAAAACCTACACCTGTGCCAAGAAAATCAGTTAAGACAGCTGGTAACACGCCTGCTACATCTAGATTGAATTCTAGACAGCCTAGCAGGACTGTTAGTAGAGATCCAAGTCCAGATAAGCGTAAAACCAAAACAGTTACAAAACCTGTAACTACCGCCACCTCAAAGCCGGTGAGTAGAGCAGCAAGTACAAGAACAACACAAAAACCTACGACTGTTACTAAACCAGAACCTAAAAAGCCTGTGAGCCGAACAAACAGTATGAAAAGTCTAACAAGGACGCCCAGTACAAAGAACTTGGCGGAGAAGCCTCCACTGAAGAAGAACAACAGTAGAAAAGACCTAAGTGAAAAAGCACAATCTACAAGCAAAATAAACGAAGTTGGCACTAAGAAAGATTCCATCAAGAAGAAGGATTCTGTTAAAGGAAAAGATGAAACCGACAAAGGTAAAGTAAAAAGTACAAGAAGTACAGATTCTATGACAGATTCGGATAATGTGTCAAAACAAGACAACGAAACGCAGTACGATAAAATTACGAACGAAAAAGGTGAACTCGTTATAATGACAAAGAAAAATATAATCTCAATGACAACTGCAGCAATAACTTCTCAACCATTAGAACTTGTATCTACAGTCACTAATCAGCTACCAGCAGCTTTTGAAAAAGCTAGGGAGAAGGGTATTTTCGAAAGATTAAGTTCTAAAGACTCTCTTGTAGGTAAAGAAGATACTGCTAATGAAAAACCAGCTTCTTCCGAAAAGGATAAAGAAAAGCCACAAAAACATAAAGATACTTCCGAAGAAAAGGAAAAAGTCGAAGAAAAGAAACCTCCTCCAAGACATAACAAACCTAACAACCATGATAAGCCGTTATACATCGAAGACCAGGTTAAACTAAAACCCCTACAGGGTCCGTTCAACAATCCTCAAATTGAACGAGCAAAACAAAAGATTGAAGCCATTTTGAAAGAGCCTGAAATATCAACAGAAAACATACTCACCGCTTCAGCAAAATCAAGAGAAGTCAAAAATACTCTTAAAGAGGTAGCTGATAACGCAAAAACTGAAATCAAAGAAGCGAAAGACGACGCAGCAAATAAACTCACAGAAATCAAAGATCAAGTTGTGAAACAAAACGAAAAAATGACCGAAGAAATACGTTCGGAAGTAACGAAAATTGTCGACAGTATAATCACACCAGTCGAGGAGCCTAAAGACATGCCAGAAAGGAAAGAAAAAGTTAAAGATGTTCCTAAAAAGATAGAAGAAGTAAAAAAAGATATCATTGAACCAATAGTGACGGTGGTTAATGAGAAAAAGAAGAATGGTGGTGCGGCTATTGCTGAGAAAGTAAATGAGACACTTGTAAAAGGAGAAGGAGAGGTTGAGGTTCTGAGTTCTAACGTGTCCACTCCAGGAGTCGATAAGATAAAAGTTCAGAAGAAGGATGGCAACGGGTCTGACAAATCTGCTCAAAGTAATGGCGGGTGAGTTTAGAATAAGAATTACAATATTTATTTTGCCCCAAACTAGAATTTTCTTATGTGTCGTTAGTATGTTTACAAACATACAATTTCACACTAAGAGATTTTCCGTGCGGAAATCAAATTTGCGACACGTTGCACGGCAGCTAGTAGCCCAGCCACCGCGTTAACTGTGCAGGCAACTACTAGTTTCGTTTAGGCTTTAACTTTAACTTGCAATGTAACATAAAATGTATGTATGTGAAATGAAATTTTAAAACTAACTTTTACAGCAGCTGCTATCTTTAATTTGAACTAGCGTAAGCCTTTCCTCACAGTTCCATAAAAAGTTTTTTTACCGCGTGACCGTTATCCACCTTACAAATCGTGGTTTTAAATATTTATAATATGAATTTATTTTCCTTTTACTGCTTTCTGTGCTGATTATAAATAAGAAACAAAACAGATTCGTTCACAAAATATGTATTTCTACACTTTAGTTACATAATTATTCGTCTATTTTTGTTACTGTTTATGCAAAGAAGAAAGTCGACAAAATAAATCCCCAAACGACGAATACAACGATTCAAACACTTTCACGAAAATCCCTAGCGATTGTTATAAAACTCTTACAAATTGCTCCGTGCATATAAATCGAGTTACTTTCAATGATAGCACGGATATTACAGAGCCCATCGCACATTGATAATATCCGTTAGAAAGCTAACTCAAATAATGACAATACTGTGTGATATTGCATATGTCAGACATTACGTTGCATCCTGCCATGTTAAGAAAAATATCAGATCTATAAAAAGGGAAAGCAATTGAGTTCATTCACAGTTTTTAAGTGTGGGAGAGCCAATGGGCCGGCTTGACCGGATTGATACTACGGCCTCACCGAAAACCACCGTGAATCAACTTACACCGTGCTGTCCGTGCGTGTGATTTAACCTTAGGCCCCATCCCTAAATCTTCGAAAACCTTATTCCAAAATCTTCGAAAACCTTATTCCAAAATCTTCGAAAACCTTATCTCCAAAAGGTCAGCAACGCACTTCTACTCTTATGGTTTTGCGCTAGTTTGTCGTTTAATCTCTTATATTCCTATTCCACAAAAAATATAAGTATAGTTGTTAATTTGTCTAGTTATCAGGTACCGAATTTAATTACCAATGGTCGTATTTAGGTTTATGGAAAGGGAAGTTATTTACTTTTATTACAACAAAAAGCAAACATATCTTGAATAATTTCTAATATAAAATATTGTGACGGAAAAGTGGTTAAAACTCTTTGACATCATGACGTCAATGGATGGTTGTCAAACGTTGCCTAGAGATTGTAAATTTCGTCGTGAATTGTCAACACGAGTTGGCCTAATCGGTAAGGCGTGTGGATTACACCACAGAGACCCCGAGTTCGAGTCCCGCCGTAAACATGAAGTGTTTTAGTTGATGGAAGTTTTGTCGAACTTTCTGGAATTATTTGTGTGAAAGAAATGAAAAATTAAAGAGCGAGAAGGAGAATAAATAAAAATGAATAACGAAATTATTGGAAGGTTCTGGAGGCATGACGATCAAAAAGAATAACGAAATTGAATGTTCCAGAACCTGACCGGGGGTATATAAGCGGAACTGCGGCTCACCGCTGGCAGTTGAGTTCTAAGTGTAAAGCGATTCGGAAGAAAAGGAAGAAGTGAAAAAGAAGAAAAGTGAGTGAAATAGTGAAGTGCAGTGCAATAGTGAAGTGCAGTCAGTTAAGTGAGTTAAGTCAGCGTGAACGGCAAAGTTGTGTCAGTCGGCCGGACTCTGCTGGAGAGGAACGCCGATAACTTAACCACGGGACGCTGTAACTTAAGTGCAACAGAAAGTCTGAAAACCGGTATTAGTGTTTCATTTCATCCAATCCCGTAACCCAAGCCCGCATAGTCAGGAACGTGACGTCAGGCACGTAACAATATAGATTAAGTTTATAGAAATGACAGTATAATTATTTAATATCCGATACCCTATCCGTAATAGGCCGACAGCGCACTTAACTCCTTTGGTGTTGCGGGTATCCAATTGTGGCGCCGATTTCCTACCATCAGGTAATCCGACTGCTCGGTTGCCGACCTATCCCATTAAAAATATAATTAGACTAGTTTCCGTCCGCGGCTCCACATGCTTATAAAAGTATGTATCTTGGGATTTTAAAAACAACGTTTTGAAGCGATAGCTCGACTAAAATACGTAAATCAAATATACTTAATTTAAAGCCTCTAGCACTCAGGAACGTTGTAGCTAATTATCACTGAAAGCATATATGGAAATCCGACGAGCGGTTTCAAAGATTGCCCCCAACATACAAGGTTACAAAATTTTACCTCTTTATAATATTAGTATACTAGCGACCCGCCCCGGCTTCACACAGGTGCAAAGCTGATACAAAATTACTCCACTATTTAATGGATGCTATTATAAACATAAACCTTCATCTTCAATCAATCTATCCATTACAAAAATTCTCATCAAAATCCCATGCATAGTTTTAAAGATTTAAGCATACATAGGGATATAGGGACAGAGAAAGCGACTTTGTTTTATACTATGTAGTGATGTAGATTGAAATTCTCGAAATGTTAATTAAAATTTTTTGACCAATTCATGTACATATACTGTTTTAAATAACAGAAAGGATATTAATACCCTCTTCCCCAATACACGCGTACTTATTATTTACCCAGCTGTGTATCGAGTGGTCAGTATGCAGTAGGTAACAAGACTATCGACCGAGTGGCGTGACCACCAAGCTGATTAGCATACGGCGCTGGGCAGGGTTGTAGCTAACCCAGACAAATGTTACTCTACAACACTTTTATTTATTTTGGGGAGATAAGTTTTTGGTAGTTTGAAGGTGGTGTTAAAATTATTGGAAGAATGTCGTACTTGGAAACGTTTCATGATTACTCAAACTATTCCTTAGTTTATTAGAACAGATCTTGTGCAATTTTTAACTTTTCCGTGTGATTGTGTGCGCTTACTTTCCTACACATCGGACCTTACTGGACTTATTTTAAAGTCAATTTTCCGTGGTGTTTTGTGACTGAGTTTTTCTCAGTTGTGCAGTGTCTTTTGTGGTGCTTGACGTGATTGGTGCTGTTGTTAATGTTGTGCGATAGATCTCGCTACAGATTCAAGACAGATTATTCATATCCGTATGGGACGCGTAGGTTTTGATTGTTATATCTGCTATAGATCCTGGCGAAGGTTTGTAATTTAGGGAGGTCGTATCGGGCTTGTCCCATTCATTAATCAAGCCTTAAGGGAAAGCTGGCGTTCGCGCACCTATTGTTCTTCTATTGTATCTCAAATTACCGCGATTAAAAGGTAAAAAAAAACTAAGTACCGTAAGTTCGGTTTACCTTGACCCTGGGAGGTAACTTTGATCCAAATTTTCGAACCAATGAAAAACCGAATATATGTTTGGTTAAAGGGTTTGGATCAAAGTTACCCCGCAGGGTCAAAGTAACCCGAACTTACCCGGTATTATTATTATACTATTTGGCCACATCTGTGGTGGTCTATTGGCTCTTTACAGCCGTGAATCATATTGTCAAACAAATGAATGTAAATCTGATTATTATTTTAAATATTTTATTGCAATAATAAGTCAAAATAATTTATTTTGTAAAGTATACAATGTAATCCGTTACCAACTATAGACTATTTTCTATCTCTTCTACTTTCTCTCGCTCTCTCTTTTTAATTCGATGACGTCATCTACCCACTTCCATGTAAAACGAGCAAGGTTGCCGCGTTCTCGATTACCTCAAATTACTTTAGCCCATATTAAGTTAATTTCCGTTGCGTAAAAATACATTATATTAAAATTTGGCAGCCCTATCGACGGGTGGTGATGCGGCACAAAAATTTGGTAAATCATAATATGTAATATGTGGATACTTTGCACACACTCTTTGAATTATTAAAGTTATATTTTTTATGTAACTAAAGTATTAAAAAAGGAAGCATTTGATATCTGTTGTGTTTCGCCGTGTAAGTGAGGTTACCGGAGGCCCAATCCTTCCTCTCCCCCAATCCCTCCTTAATCCCTAAATCTCCTTATCCCTAATCCCTAAAAGGTCGACAACGCACTTGTAACTCCTCCGTTGCGGGTGTCCATGGGCGGCGCTGATTGCTTACCATCAGGTAATCCGTCTGCTCGTTCGCCGACCTATTACATAAAAAAAGTATCATTAATTTTTTTAACTACTTGGTGTAAGTGAGCCTAGCTTCGGTACGAATACGAAAGCTTGAAACAGCCACAGCGTTGTGTTTCGCCGTGTGAGTGAGGTTACTGGAGGCCTTAGAATTTATTTCAGTACAACTTTTCTCACCCCATAAATATAACATGGAGCCTATAAAAGTTGTAGGTATCTCATTAGTGTGGATTCTAACATCTTTGCCTTCCCCTCTAAGGGTTGAAAGACGTGAAGGATTACATAGTAAATAACGTAATTACATAATAACATAAATTTTCAAACAACAATCAAAAATCCTTTTGTACTAAAAAAAGTTTCCACGATTCGTGTACCGAGTAACAACACTACAGCAATAAAGGCTTTGTCTTGCTATAAACTTCTCGTTATATTACAATTGTATACTATACAATGCTGCTTTTGTTCATTAATAACATTAGTCCTTTCTTTGAATACTCGTCAATGGATACGGAACTGAGTCATTTAGATGACAAAAGCTTTATTAATATAATAATGTAATACCGATATACTATAAGGCATAGAATATTACAAAACCGAAAACGACGACAAAATCATTATTATAGTTAACAAATTAAGACTAATTTAAAGACAAAAATGTACATATACTTGTACTACTTAGAAAACAAATAATACTATATTTTATTAAATTGTTATGAATATTCACAATTTCCTACCTTTATTTAAATTTACATTATGTTCTAATTCTGACATAGAAAAGTAGACGAATTTAATTGTAAAACATAATAAGGGAGGGATTTTGATAC